GCCAGAATACTGTACAGTGCTTTCACCTAGAAGGTTACACTTGTATAGCTTTGATGAAAAATACATTCTGACTTGCATATATATATCCATAAGAAATTTTGACCCCCCCCCCCCCCCACTCTCATTGCAAAAATATCTGCTGACATCAATGATTGCATGTTCGTATATGTTTATGTCTGAGTTTTATGTTGGAGTGCATGTGCGTGTATATATATATATATATATATATATATATATATATATATATATATATATATATATATATATATATATATATATATATGCATGTGTATTTAAGACACCATTCCCACACGCACCATAAGTTAAATGTAGATTGACCCAGCTCTTTGGGGACTCTAGCTGAGTGCAATCAGCTTAACTGAATGAGACGCCACCTTGTTTCCAATGTACTCGTGTAATCATATCATATAATCACATAAGCTTTTCTGCATTCTCTTTAGCACCAGGAAGAGCCATGTTAGTCTGTTAAACTGATTGCATTCAGTGAGAGTCATTGCATAGTTGGATCCATCTACATGGACTGATAGTGTCTATGGGAATGGGACCTGGGAGTAGAAAGGTGTACAGAACAGCTATATATATGTGTGTGTGTGTGTGTGTGTGTGAGAGAGAGAGAGAGAGTTTTTGTGTATGTGAGTGTATGCTTCTGAATCTGATAGTGAAAAAGTGTAGAAGAGATCTCAATACATGTATGTGTGTTTGCCTGTGTGTATATCAGGCATATGTGTGTGTTCATGTGCGTGCACACGTGCATTTCCATGTGTGTGTGTGTGTGTGTGTGTGTGTGCACGCATTAGGGTGTGTGTAAGATCGAACAGGTGTAAAAAACATCTGGAAATTCCCACTGAGAACTGAAGTACAGGAACTACTGAAGTTAAAGAACAGTTGTGGCATTTTCACCTGATGAATGCACCTGAACAGACAAACAACAGTTAACCCTTCCCCTCTTTCCTAAAAACAGTGACAGCCAAAGAAATGTTGATTGGGAATACTTCAGCCTGTGAAAGAAATCTGTCAAATTTCTTGTTAATTTAAAAGACCAACAGAATGGCAGGGTTCTTATTCATATATATCAATATTGCACCTATCACGGATGTGGAAATTCATAGGAAAAAAGACATTTGCAAGGTAGACCATTCAAGAGGAAACTCCTCCCTAACTGATACAGTTGATAAAACTAAATGGCAAAAATCCCTGAAGAATTACCTCAGGCTTGCATTTGTATCAAAATCTGATTACCACAACGACTGCAATCAGTTCATGCATGTTTTATTGAAAAAAAAAAAAAAAACAGGAGTGCCTTTTTTAAAGAACACGTTCAACATTTTTATCAGTCTAAAAATGTCTGTTCTGGTGAAATAAGAAGAAAAAAATGATATACCAAGCCGTAATTTATGTTGCTCCTCTTAACATGGAATGTGAAGATTAGACAGAGCCTAGAAAACCACAGACCATCTCCAATATGGAGAAAAGTGATAAATTAGACCAACCAGACTGTACTTGTCAGGCTTCATATCTGGATTACTGAAGCCCATGTTTCACGAGAGAAGTTATGACCAAAAGCTGGCTTAACTTATAGACCAGAATTCTTAGTCTATCTGAACCAATATGAATCAGTGGTAGCCAATTCTGCAACCGTCACATAAAAATAAAGAAATGGATATAGACTAATATTCACTTGATATTAGAAAACTACTACAATATTTTCCCACAGTTAGTGGATTAAATTCCATGGTCTTAAAGTTAAGACCAACTTTGTCCTAATAGTTCCTTTGTGAAGCTGACGTCTGGGACAATATGATGGCTACAGAGATAAAAGTTACAACAATAACCATGCATCCACAGATGCTCTGCACCGGTTAAAACATTTAACAGACATTTTCTAGGGCAAATGACGTTTATTTATTATATCTAAACTCATTTTCATTATTACCATTCTCTAAATGCAACTTGCAGTATATGGGTAATACTTCAGTTTCATAACTGTGGCAGAAAAACTCATCTCACTGCTGCCTCTGTTTGCATATATATTGATACAGTCACTCTATATGCCCTTTTCCCCACCTTGCCATGTACTTATCAGCACTGTGACATTTTGAAAGATTGAGAACTTTACAGCTTGGTTATAGTATGCAAGAGAATCATCTTAATGGAGCACCTATTCCTCACTCAACCAGTTGACCTGATTTATGTCGATTGGTCCAACACCTTCCCCTCTTTCCATAGTGTTATTACACCTTAAGACCATTCAAAGTGTTGCAATACAGATAAGGATTACTGGGGTGGCGCTAGCAATTTTATTCATTTAGCCAAATTACTACTTTTCATCGCTTTTTTGTCCAAACGGTTTAAATTTGACTAAAATCAGTCAAATCAACCCTATTTTGTTTAGCCAAATTCAGTCAGTTTTAGCATATGGCTAAACTGGTGAGTGTTAGCGCTACCCCAGTATTACTTATAATGTGAAAAGGACCTTGTATTTATTGCCTGCCCTAGCTAGATAATATCAAAGACACCACCCCCTATCCAGTTGGGAAGAATATATTCATTTCTAAAACAGACTGCATGACACTACAGACCCCAACCCTGAATTGTGGAAAGGTATTTTACATTTTTAAAACTTTGTATAGCCTGCATATAAAGTCAACATAAAACTAACCTCTGTAACTTTGCATATAGCTACGATATAGTATTATTAACTATTCTGTAAAATTTTAACCACGGTGTTTACACGGCCTTCAAAATGTATTCATATTAAGTTATCATTAAAAAACTGAGTGCCCTTAACAGTTGGGCCTTTTTCCAACTGGTTTTCAGCAAAACAAATGTATCTACTGTAATTTCTTAAGATCTTCATACACCCCGATTTCTCAAATATTTTTCCAAGATTTATCATTATATGCACCTAAAAATATACTTTCAAACTCCAAGCCAAGCAACTTTTAATTCAAGACTTTCAAGCATAATGAATAAACCACAACTTTGTGGAAAATCATTAATTTATTTTATTCAAATTTACAGAGTAATTACAATATCTATGTAATAATTTGCACTTAACTCAATTACAAAGGTAAGCACTTTGATCGATGTTATCTTCCATAATACGTGATGATCCTTAAACCAATTAGTTATATCCTTTCCATTCGTCGTGACCAATTATATTTATCAAATAATTGTCTTTCTATATTTGTGTGCTTTGTAACTACTATATTATCTGATAACTCGAAACCAAAGGTATGTTACTATCAGAAACCATTGTTTGAGCAAAATGTTGATAAACACATAATTGTGTTTTAATCTGTGTAAGATTGCATATCTAAAATAGGTTAATAAGTTTTTTTTTTTTCCTTTTAATCTGTGACTGAGACATTGTTTGCTTTGTATATTCTGATATAACTGTATAGTTAGGTATTCTTTGCATCTGAACGATATGTTTTGAATAGAGGTTTATAATTCTAACATATTGTTTTTCATATACTGTGTCATAATAAATAATAATCTCTCGCTCTCTCTCACACACACACACACACACACACACACACACACACACACACCTGTATCGCTAGTAACTTTTTTTCTTCAAACTTTCCATATGACAATTTTGGGCCCATGTTTTATCTGGTGGCTTAAATATTTAACTTTGAGAGGAAAAAATAAAATAAAACATTGAAATTTATGACCAGTTAATATACAGTTTAATTAATAACATTAACAATTTGTCCAAACCATAACCCACACAAATAATTATTGGTGTCCATGCACTGTTATGTCATCATTATAAATTGATTTCCAATAACCAAGAGCATTATGACTTATAGAGAGTTAACCCTGTGAAATTTACCTCTAATTTTGAAACATTTTAGTACTGTAATTTTTAAGAATTTCCTAATTATAGCCCTGCAAGGTGCATTGTAACGTATGATTATATAATGCCCTATATAAGACCTAAATTATTATTATTATTACTATTATTATTATCAGCATTTCAGTAACTTGAAACAGCAGAGCATGCTAATAAAACAGAGGTCAGATTTTAGTGACATCGGAAACACAGGGTGTTACAAGAAAACAGGAGAGGCGTTCTTTTGTCTCATAAGCAGTGTACACCATATAGTGACTCCACACTAGAAATTCATACAGTCAATGAATCAGGCCATGTATAGTAGTCATAGCACACATTCCAGCTCTGATGAATTTTCTTCTTAAAAATCTGCAGCAAAAGTTACCAGACTAAGATGATTCACATAAAAGCCAATCCTAAAAGAAGGGTCGAATGACCCGCATTTTGTGAGTCACTCTCTTAAGTTAAATAATGGAATACCAGCACATTCACCCATATATAATTGCATCAGCCATGGCCTATTAATCTCTCAAACATGGGCCAACTGAGCAATGATTGTGTTAGAGAAGCTACAGGTCACAATCATGTGACTCACACATGGTATGCAATTTTATTTTAACCAGCCCTGGAATGAGTCATCATTTGGGTGAGCACTTGTACCCGCCTAAATAAATATGCATGAGTTGCAGTTTGGAAAAGATCATGAACCTGAATGATATTGTGATGCTACAGAAGAATACGCAACAGTAATTGATGGAAAGGATAACTTATAATTAAGACACACTTAATTTTCATCAAAACAGCCTAATACTTGTAAATAAGGATGAAATACCTTTTTTATCCAGTCAATGAAAGAAAATTGTGTATTAAATTGAAACTGGTATTAAGAAAATAGTTTGGATTGAATCTGAGAATAGATACACAGAAAAAATATTGAATGTTTAGGTTTTTCCTGTTTTAAATGCTGTTTCATCAAGATATCCTCTAGAATCACAACTATTCTGTGTTTTTAGTTTTAGAATGATATAATAGCACACCTTGGTAAAAAGAAGGAAAAAAGTCAAAATTTCCTGTCAAACAAATGTGTGCTCTGATAAAAAGATCTCAGTGTGACAAAAATAAATAAATAAAAACTTACCGCGGGCTGCCTAGTCAGGTTGACCAGATCTCTCACATTGTAATACTGATGTTTTTCAAATGCTGAGAATAACATATCCATGACTTGTTCTTTGTCCTTCCGTGATTTTTTCCCTTCATCTTTCTTCTTGGCTAGGTAGTCTTTCTGCAATGGTATATAGTAACAATTTTGGTGAAAAAAGATGAAGCAGCATAGAAGTCTTTCTGCAATGGTATAAATTAACAATTATGGTAAGAAAACAAGATGGAACAGCTTGGAAAGTTTGATGGAAAATGGAGTTGAAGGAGAGAAGGTGTGACTTGAATGTCATGTTTGAAAGAGTTGGTTGGAGGATGGAGGTGTAAAGGACAATGGAGTACAGCTACTGGAGAGCGCAAGAGCAGTCTTCGACATTAGCCACTAGTCCTACGCCCACAACACGTAAAATTTTGGATGGACCAGGTGATTTGTCAGGATGTATGAATTTAGTGGTCTAACATGGCCAATAGATTTTGTTTTTTTTTTAAAGTTTTGGAGAGCTTTTGATTTGATTTTTATTTCTGTGTCTATTTAATGTATCTATTTCATGATTTTTCTAAATTTAAAACAAAATCTCAGTCTTGTTATAACTATTTATAAATGCAATAGGGGAAAATGCCCAGTCTTATTGAATTGTTCATTCCGACCAATGAATCCCGGTACAGAAAAATAGCTTTTAGGATACTGGTGGCCCTAATGGTAAGTAAGCTAAAAAGGTAACAGCAAAGGGATTACCATCGGGAGGGTTTTGGAGTACTAAATGGTATCATTAAATCAGTGATGAAACGGTGATTGTGGGTGTTCAGGTAAAGGAGATATTTGAGAGACCAATTTTTCAGTTTTTACCCCCCAATCGCAATCATGATGTCACCTGTAAGATCACATGTGTAAACATTAATTAATTTAGTCACTGAACATTGAAGATTTATTTATAAGCCAAAAGAATGCATGGAAGGCAGTAAATAAGAAGTTTTGGGTGAAGGATGACAAAATCCTTAAGGATAGCAGTTATGTACTTACATTAAACTGGTGATCAGACTTGGGTTTGTAGTTCAATACTATCTTGTCCAACTGTTGCACTTGTCTCTGTGGCTTATTCTGTTGTTCTACATGTATTCTGTAAGTTGATAATAACTATTATTATCAGTATAGTAACAACATTCATTTAAAATTGCTATCAAAAAGATTTACACATACAACTTGTAAAAGCAATATTGAAAGATGTGAGAATCAATTAAAATGATTATATTTTGATATAAACACTTCAATACTATTTAAATTTTTTAGCAGACCAGATATATGATGTATACTATGAGAAGATATCATAACAACCAGGCCTAAATAGACATCAAGCATGAGACTGCAATTTAGTGAAAAAAGTCAGAAAATATGGCATGAGGTCTAGGGGGCCACCTAGGTGAATGATATTTTTGGCTCCCAAAAAGTCAGAAATACGCCAATAGTCGAAAAAAGTCATCCCTGTGATATCTGTATAGTGTAAACACCAAGCTCTATACCTAAATTTGTCTTTTTCATATGAAAAGACAACAAATACAACTGATGGTGATATTAGTACGTCCAGAAACATTGTGACTGTCCATAATATCACAATAATTGAGCTATAACCCTATTAAATAACATAAACAGCCAGTTTCCATCCTGAAATCTTACTCACCGTTTAAGCTTCATATAGTTATCGTCACCAAGTGGTCTGCACTCTGCTCTGTGCATGACTTTGCCTTCCACTGCTACTCGTTGCTCTGAAATCACAATACCAGTACAGTCATTGTTCAACAAATTGGAAATCCTCCTTCCACTACCGCTGCCACGACACACACGCATGCATGCACACACACACACACCACACACTTTTTCTTCATATGAATCATATCTAACCCCTCGTGACTGTTTTTTTTCCCTAAAGACTAGGAAATTATGGTGAAAAGTGCGACTGATAAATTGTGTTTATTTGTTTTATTAAAAAAATACAGTACATGTCATCAGAGTATTAAAGCTGTATGGACAACTATATATACCCCACTTACCATTAGTGTCCCCGGATACACCTGTTTGAAAAAAGACAAATGAAAACGTATTTTAATGACAAAACATATTAAACTAATAAGACACAAGAATTTATTACTTTAATATCCTGCCAACAAAGCGAAAAAAAAGTCACTCCTTAGTTTGAAATATCCACAAAATAATTTCAATGCATTACTAGTAACTATTCATTTTTACTAAGATATCTGTTTTACTAGATATTGGATATTGCAACACAATGCGGGGGAGGGGGGGGGGCAGAGGGGGGCACAGAAGGCATGGGGACCTTCTTAGCCACATGTGTGACAACTGCAGATCATAAAACACAGGACTGCAAATTAAAAGACATACAGTTTGCATATGGGAGAAAAAGATTCATCATGAATTTCATCCATGAAGGGAAAAAATTAAAATCTTATTTATAACTAGAACCAGTGGATTTTGTATTTTTTCTCAGATTCTGTCAGGATATAGCATGATGACAAACTGATTTTAATTAGGAAATTTAAAAACTGGTAAATTGCTGATATTTCCAGTAATTTTTATAGAGGTCAAAAGCCTATTGCACATATGCCTTCAATATGACTGCAAATCAGCCAATGATGCACATTAAAATATCGTACAGATGAAATTTTTACCTGCACCATCCTGTGTGAGCACGAACAATTTCTGATTCGCTGTTCCCGTGACAACAAACTTGTGATCTCTTGGAACCTCCTCTCCTGTTTCGTCTTTTTTCGCAAGCGATTCTTGGAGAGAGAATAAAACTTCAGGTTTCCCACCCTGGAATCTGAAAAATGTGTGTGATAGGTATAAAATGCATGTAATACCTTTACACAGCAATAAAGTCAATTTTCCTGAAAATTCCAAAAATTCATGAAGCAATATCTTATCCTCACATATATATCAACCAAATTATGGAACTTCTGTGGTAAAATTAGTTGATGTTGGGGGTCTAGATCCTAAGACTTTTCATTTACAAAAACCTGAATTGACTGGTCACCTTATTTATTTATTTATGGCTAGGAATAGATGGGTCCCCATAGCCTCGTCACACATATGAAACCCTAATGTTGGATAGTTGTTGAATTTTTCCCACAAAAGTTCCAGAATTCGATTGATATGTATATGCATATTCATAAGTCTTATTTCACAGGATGATTAAAAAATCACTCACAAATAAGCAATAAAACAGCAGAATTAACAAAACTTGAAAACTTTGGAACAAAAAATTTTGTCCGAGTTGTGAAACCATTCAAGTCAGGCAACATTCATATTAAAAGTACGTAACAAATGCTCAACAAAAAGAATCCCACCGTTATAAGGTGATAACTTATATGGACTTAATTGGATATTCAATAAAAATGTTAAACAAAAAAAAGGAAACAATGCAATCATCTCCCAAGTATGGACTTAATTCCTACAGCCTACATGTACCTTGGCTGTGTAATTCTGAGCTTTCCCACTTCATTAGAGCTTCCAGCTTTCTTCCACCTTTCTGCTAAATATTTGGGAACCTGGAAAGCAAAGTCATATCAACTGATAAAAATAACCATTGTACTGTATTTATATTGTTTATTTATTATTTGATAATTTATTATTAACATTTTAGACATATTTGCTGCTGTTCTCGATGTGACAACAATATATACATATATATAATTACAAAATGCAAGCGTCATATTAAGCAACTGTTTATATGATTTATAAATCACAAACAAAACATGTAAATTCATGCTTTGTCATGTAATGTCATGAGTACATGTGTTTAATTTTTACAATATGCTCTACTCCTAGAGCATGCATTTTCAGAAACTGGATTTTACTAGTAGGGCGATTGCATTTATTTCCTTTAACAATGTTTTTTGTTCTTGTTTGAGTTTTTAACACTTTAGTGGACTCGTATGCTAATATTATAAGGTCGTTTTGCATTGCTTTTTAATTATTTCTAAATTCTCCAAACCGAGTTTTCACTGTTTCAGTTTCGCTGTTTACCTTCACCAACCAAACTCCTCTGCTTGCTGCGGTTAAATCCAGATCAGACAACTCGTGAACTTTCTCTGTTTTGTCCATTTGGCCTTTTTGCATTTTAAACGCAAATGCTTACGTTTAATGTTAAATATTGTGGCCAAAAGTAATTTTGCCGAGAGCACGAAATCAACGTTTTCAGAACCATTGCGCATGCGCTCTTATCTAGTTTCACTTCCGTCAACTTCCGGTAAGCGACGACGTGGAAGAAAGACCGTCAGCTGCGTCAACACTTTCGTTTCATCAACACCAAAAGACCAGAATATTTAATGGTACGCTAAAGTTGAAACGCAAACCCCTTTTCATGGTGTTGTTATGGGTCAGATGTAATATATATCCATTTTACAGCCAAAGTTTTACATTTATGTATGGGTTTCGATCATTTAGTTCTGCTACTACTAGTAAGCCTACTTCTCTGGACTTCCTTGGGTTCCTACATGTAGGACCTTGAGACTCAAGAAACCAACATCTTATTACAGGGGCGGATCCAGAGTTATTTTCTGACAGTCTTCCAATTTATCTTTATTGATCCATCCTCCATTTTTGACCGTCTTCCGACAGAAAAAATTAGATACCCGTCAATGTAAACTTGAAAATCTGACCGTCTTCCGGAAGACCCAGAAGACGCCCTAAATCCGCCTCTGTATTAAGATTCTTGTTCTATGTTTGGTTGAAATCTATGGTCGTTGTCACTGATCATTTACTGCTGACGCCTTGATTGTCTAAGGCATTATGAAACTACCTTGTACTTGAGTATATACACAATATACACCCCCCTAAATGTAGTCCTGTGAAATAAGATCTATTTTGATATTTGATGATCTAGCTGTTGCAGAGGCATCTTGATGGAGTTTGATGTGCTTCACCCCCAGCTGGTCCACATTGGTGGACGGTGTTACAGAAAGTACACCACAAATGCTGCCAGCAGAGAGGAAGATGAATACATCCGTCCATATCAAGAAGAAGAATGTAATCTTTGCTCCTTTTTTATTTACTTTTATTGATTCAGAATTAGTTTAATTACATTTAGTTAATGAATAATGTTGTTTGGCCAAGACTAGTACATGTATACTAGTAGCTTAATTGACCTATGAAATGTTTTCTTTTGGTATTTACTATTCTTGACCATGGTTGATCATGTTAGAAGTTTAATCTTACATTTTTTTGAACTTTTAGAAATTGAAAGGTACACTTACTCAATGAGATTAAGCTGCCAAAATGGATTTTTGTAGGCAAATAAGCAATTTTCTTGTACTCACAAATCATTTAGCTATCCCCCTCTGCACTTGGATTCAACTTTTGATAAAATTTATAAAGGTTGATTTTAACTCAAAATGCCTGGCCAATCATTATAACAGATACCATTTTCCTATAAGCTCCAATGGAAATATCAACATCATGTACGCTCCAGAAAAAGGAGGTTACTATAGTACTAAAGCATTTTTAGGTCTATGTAAGGTTTTATAAGAAGCTGTGGATGCCAAAAATAAGAATTTTGGGATTTTCAAACCCATGGAGTGTACCTTTAACCAGTCAATTATCAGCATTCATAATTGTAGACACTTTGTTTGCACTGTACTGGTAGTGATCAATATATCCTGCCATTACTGTTTGCAAAGATGGAGTCGTAGCTGTCCACATTTATTGGTAAAACTTAATTCCTGCATTCTGAAAATTGACTACTTAAAGGGATAATAACTATTCGTTTCAGCCAAAAAATGAATTTTCCTAGAGTAAACAACAATTTTCCCATACTAACCAATGGTTAATGAATCCATTTTTACATTCAAAGTTAGTCCCTGTTTTTTTTCTAAAAGGTTTGTTTTTTTCTTAAAATCTCTTAAGAGATTTTAACAGAGTATAGCCATCAATGGAGGTCACGTGGTCTAAAGACAAGCTCAGATATCAGAAAAAATAGCTATAACTGCCGTTTTTGTGGTGAAACAGAATACATTATATTTCTATGAGTTATTCACAATGTTTGTATTGTGAAATATAGATCTCATACGAAGAGTTATCATCCCTGTAAAATTTTTTGAAAAAATTTGACATTACTATTTTTTAAATAATAAAAAGATAATTTCTTTTTTATTTCACAGATGATGACAGGGATGTTTACTGTGATGAAATTGTTTTTTAAAATAATAAAAAGATGATTTCTTTTTATTTCACAGATGATGACAGAGATGTATACTGTGATGAAATCTGTGGTGTTGATGTCAATGTTGAACAGACAGAGAAGGGCTACAGATCCAAAATGGACGTACCCAGTGCATATTTCAAGTAAATTATTTTCCTTTTTTTCGTTTTCATGTGAGAGAGTGTCAATCTTTGTATTTCCAATTTGGAAAAAACTCAGTGAAAAGAAAGCCAGTTTATAGTCAATCTTACAGTGCAGATATGATTCTTTTTGTTGAAGATAACAATTTAAAGAATTTTCTTACTAAAAAAAAAAAAAAAAAGACAGAAAGAAAAAGTTAGTATAAATGGTAATTTTTCTAAGGTTTATGTATTTGGTTTACTTTGGGGATCAAGGTAAATTTGTTAAAATTTCTTGGAAAATTACAATTTTGCTATAAAAAGGTCTTACATTTATTGTGTGCCTTAATTTTATTATTAAATGTTCAGATTTATCATCGGCAAAAAGGGTGAGACAAAAAGGAAACTGGAGTACGAGACAAAGACACAGATTAGAATACCAAGGCAGGGACAGGAAGGAGACATAGGTATAAAAGTGATCATTTTCCATGCATTTATTTTTTATTCAGCAAAAGCACAACTTAAATGGTGGATTTGGTGGTCAGATATGGCAACCAATTAAAAAGTATACTCTGAGGATCAAATATGGTGACCCACTAAAAAACTTGCCATCTAATCCGCTAATAGACAACGAATAGATGTCCCATGGGGAAGTATGTAAGTGGGTTGGCTATATTTGATCCTAGGACTAGTGAGTCCACTTTTCTGAATGCGGCCTTTTACATAACAATATAGATTACAGTATGATGTAGTCATCACCAGCATCAAAGCTCTGCCTGATTTGATATTTTTGCTTTCCTTTTTATGCAAAATTTTTTAATTACACTTTTTTCAAACAATTGCTACTCTTTAGAGAAACCGTATCTTAAACCAAGCAGATTCTTTTTTGGAAGAGTTTTGATATATGTTTGTCTGTCCATTTGACAGCATGTGCTGCTTATTTTCAGTAATCCATGGCCAAGACAGGAAAGGAGTAGTGTCAGCCAGAACAAGGATAGAGGTAATGGTGGATAGCGCCAGACAGAGGCTGCCATTCACCCACTTTCTCTCTCTCCCAGTCAATGGACAGAAGATTAAAGACGCTTTCCTGGATTTTAAGGCAGATGTTCTGCGTGAATGTGATGGGGTAAGTAGGCTTGTGTGCATGTGTGTGTGCACACGCACAACTTTCTGCATGTGTTTTTGCACGTTTTTGCACCCACCCCCCCATTTTAGAGGGCAAATGGTGCATGCATGTGTGTGCGCACACATCTTTGTGTTTTTTTTGCATGTGTGTGTGCATCTGCATGTACGACTGATGGTTTGCATGTTTGTGTATACATTTATGTGTATCCATATATGATTTTGTATGAATCTTCATGTTTGTACATATATGCATACATGTGTACACTGTATGCACATGTATGTGTATGTATAAAAAGTTATTTATTTCTTAAATTTTAAACTATTGTTTCTCTCCACAGGACAGAGGCATTGTACCCGCAGTTTTCCAGAACCCAGATAAACTTCACTTGACGCTAGGCATCATGGCACTGATGAATGGGACTGAGATTGCCAAGGCAACAGATCTACTGCAGCAGTGTAGGGAAGACCTTGTCAAGTGAGTCGGGAAGAGTGAAATTTTTATCTCTGAATCAGTACAGAGGCAGATCCAGGATTATTTGAAGTGGGGGGTGTCCGGTTTGTGGGAATGACAGGAAGCAGATGCCCAAAAATGTTTTTTGCCCCCCCTTAATCCGCCACTGCAGTGACTGGCGTCAAGTTGATGGACGTCAGAGCTGATCAAGAGCACTTGTGTCAAGAGCATACTGGGATGTATAGAAAGAAAGAAAAAAAAACTGATGTCACTGCATGTGTCAGGAAGGACAGATTAAATACTTTAGATCCACAAAGATTTGCTTGTATATTGTTAACTTTATTGAAAATCATTAATACACCAAGTGCTTGGGGGCATTTTTTGATTGGATGGGATTGTAGCATTCAGGAAAGAATTAGCCAGAAGGTTGATTCTCAGCCCCTCTCGTTTCCTGCACTTAAGACTGACTTGGTTGCTACTTGGATGTTGGTGAATTTCCATTTCCAGTGCTTCGTAAAAAACAAGCAGCAAATTGTTGGTTTGAAAGTTTTGATTTTTTGAAAAATTTATTTCTGAAATGTGTTTCTCCTTTTTTGCTCTCATTTCAGTCCAATACTAAAGGGAGAACCTCTGGATGCTATAATTCAAGGTCTGGGGTATATGAACGATGAGCCAGGAAAGGTGAACGTCCTATATGCTAATGTCATGCTGCAAGACGGAAGCGACAGGTAAAAATCTTGTTAATCTTTTGAGCAAAGATTAAAAAAAAACTACAGTGATGATGTTACAGCTGATTCTTATGAAGAAATAATATGATCTTGTTTCAATATGTGTTAGATGCTGGTTTTATTTGAATAAATTTTGTGTTGATACGGGGGGGGGATAATGGAATTAAACACTCTGTCGGGCAGATATTGATATTTTTGAGGGAGGTTTTGATAATTCTTGTGACATTTTCCTTGATGAAAAGTGTGAAATTGTCCACGGCTATTCATTGAAACAATGCGTACTAGTGTGTTTTTCAAAATTATTAGTTTTTATTAAATTTTATTCCTCCTGAAGATACAAGTAGCTCATTGTCATCTAGCTGTTATAAGTCTTCATGCAAAATCATAATATCTTAGATTTTGTACAACATAGTATACTTAGGTATAGTAACATAAGGTACAGAAATCACTCAACGTAGAAAAAAAAAAAAATTATTTCAATTTTAATAAATGGTTGAAATATATTTTGTATACTTTGTCACATATTTTTCTTTGTCTTTCAGACTTCAGGTACTGGCAGACAGAATTAAGGACAGATTTGTTTCAGCAGGCTTACTTAAAAAGGACAGTTACGAACGGGTTAAGCTGCACGTGACACTTATGAATGCAAAGTTTATTGGAGACGCTCATAAAGAGATAGCGTCAAAATCCCAGGATGTGCGACAGCAGGAACAGCTGCAGTTTTCTGGTGAAAGGGAATATTTTGATGCCACCAATGTGTTAAGAGTAAGTCATGGAGGCCCTTACGAAAATTTCCTATAGGAGTCTGTGAAGGCATAGAGGACTCTATGGAATCTGCCACTCTATTGGAATTCTGTCAAATGTCCTAAATGAAACTTATGTCCCATAGGTTCCTAAAGGATTTGGGGTTAATTTCTTTCATGACATCCCATAGGAAATTTCTGTAAGGAGTATGTTTATAAAATGTGTAAATCTCACATAAAAAAGATTTTAAACACGTCATAATAGTCATGTGGACATCTGTGTACATATCTGATTGTATTAAATATTTATTTAAAACTTTTTTTTAAGAAATCCTTGTACATTCCATTTAAGAGTTTGTGTCATTGTTTTTTTCCCCCCTTTTTGCCTTGTTTCTTATTTTAAAGAAATTATGCTTAGAAGATTTTATGGATATTAGGTGATAGATCAGTTGAAAGCAAATAATCTTTTTATACTGGTACATTCGTGAGGCTTACTTTACCGTACTTAATTTTAGCTTTCTTCTTTTCCAGATGTTTCGGGACTACAAGTTTGGGGAACATCTAATAGACAGCCTTCACATATCCCAAAGAGGTTTTTATGATAAAGATGGATATTACGCAGCAGCAGCCAAAGTGCCTCTAACATAGCACCAGTGAAAAAGATGCTTCTTTTATGCCATCAAATTTGTAAAGACCATTATCATGACGTGACTTGACAGGATGTGATGTCATCTAGACGTAATCATACATTTTCCATAAAATGCATTGAAATAGAAGTTTAAAACAGATTGCATAAATTAATTAAATATTAACAGTGCAAATGCAATAAAAGTCTTTGAAGGTAAAGTCCACTTCTCTTAACATTGAAATAAAAAGTCTGGTTTTAATGAAAGTTGTATATTATTGTTTTCAAAAGGCCAGTGAAATTTAACAAGAGTCATAACTTTTCCAACAAGTTTATTTAAACAAATGTAGATATTACATTCCCTGCCCCAAATATCCATGAACTCTGGAACTTTGGGTGCTATAGAAAATAGAGGCTAATAATAAGTTAACTTAACTTAATCCTGAAACCCAGAGTGTCAAAAATGCACTAAAATCACAAACAAATTGAAACTAGATCTCAATGTTCTGTCTTTGGAAACCAAACACCAAACAAGCAGTGCAATTAGCCATTACAATGTAAGCTACTGACAAAAGAAAAAGTAAACCTAAGATTTGACTCTTACACTCAAGATTTTTTTTAAAAATCTTCTTATGCTGCTAGTATATTTTAAATTTAATTTTGTCTATTGTATATGGTCCTTATATAGTGTTATTTAATATAAAAGCCAGTTATCCAGTCCACAAAAAAAGATGGACAACATTTTCAGCTCTGAGCCTTCTAAATTAAGTTTGTGTTTTCACTTTGTGAGCACAAATATAGATAAAAAAATATAAATTAACAAAATATCCTGTATCTTAGAACAGCAGGCAACAATTTGCACTGAAATATATTACATAAATATGAATTTTCCAATCCACCCTTCACCCATTAATTGCATTTTACAAAGGCTTTGGATATACTGTGTAGTTTACCTTTCTATAAAATTGCCAGAATTTTTTTTCTTTTTTAAGGCGCAAAACTCATGTGTACCTTTAAAGCCTAATTGATCAAAGGCGTTCTCTCGTCACTTTCATCATGTTCATAATTCTCAGCTATAACACTCCGTGATTCCTGTCTAGATGCTTTCTTGCCGTTGATACAACCAATCAACTGCATAGTTACCGTTACCAAGACGCAAAACCCAGCACTCCCTGTTGTCAATAGCAACACTGCTCGACCACCGTAATGTTCGTAGAGATGACCTGCGGCCAGGGTGCCTGTAAGGTCACCCATACTTATCCCAAAGTCCATCAATGACATAACGCAGCCTGTGACGTCCAGATATTTGTCTGCCCAGGCGATGCACAGAGGAATCATGGGACTGTCTACAGTAGCGTAAAGGCAGGAAAGAACCCAAAAGTAAACAAAACTCCAATTCAACGATAAATATATGCCTGTCTGGGCCCCAACATTCAATAAAACTCCCAATATTAACAAAATGTCGAGCCGGACAAACTTGGCGAAGACTATTCCAATTAATCTTCCCACTGCAATTGTTGCATAAAGGGTAGTATTAAATATTATGGCAGTAGGTTTTGTGAAATGCATCTCGTTCACTGCTATGGTGAACATGTAGTTATTAGTTGCGCCCGCTTTGCAGACATCCCCGACCATAAACAGGAAAAGCAGGCCCAGAAGCTGTATGCCAAGCACTTTATTTCCTTGTGCACAGGAAGCTGGATTAACAATGTCCTTGACATGTTTTTCTTCACGACAGTCTCGACTTCGTGGCGACAAGTCTAAATGAACAATTCTGGAATGAATGTAGAATACGTAGAAAATGACAGACGTCAGAAGACAAATTCCCCCGATAATCCCATATGTGTACTGGATATGTGTCTCACTGCAATGGACATCAGAGTCATATCTCTGGTACCCCGCAGAAGGGCTTAGATATCCATCATGTGGATGCAGGGTACCATTTGTGTTATTGGTACAATGGGAAAGAAATGGCCCAGCGATTAACGGGGCGCCCAGAGCTCCGAGTCCGAACCCCATGTGGACGGCTTGAAGTGGCGCCGCAGCTTTGTCATCCCACATTGCAATCACCATGGCATTCCCACCTGTAAGGATAAAAATTTATGATCACTCTTCCTTAGACAACCTATTTTTCTATTCAAAAGCCAACTGAGACATGTGAATAAGAGTGAATTTGTAAAATAGCACAAGGTTATGCAATATACTTGAGAATAAAAATTCTTCAGCAGGATGGGAGGCATACCAGTACTAGTGCAGTGGCTGATACGATACAGAATTATGTGGGCAAGACTAGAAAAATTACTGCCTTGCTTTCCTCGGCTAATACGGAAGAAAATATGAAAAAGAGCAGGTGGGCAGAAATACCATTACATTTACGGCACAAAGATGAAAAATTGGCTTTGTCTCGTTTCCTCATTATACAGGTTCGGGGGAGAAGAGTGTAATGCCCAAATTCAAGGCAGGGGGTAGACTACACCAAGTGCACTAACCTCGTCGTCAATCTCCCTAGATTGACCTGCCATAGACATATTTCTTTACAATATTCAATAAATGTATAGTCATATTACCTGCACTAAGTGACCCATGACTTAGCCCCTGCCCAAAAAAGCACAGCCCCAGCACTACCAGCCCAGGAGCCCATGGAATTGCTGCTGTAGATCCCGCTAACAAAAACAGTGCTGTTGCCAATATGAAGTCCACATGGTGGTTGAACTTATCACAGAGAAATCCTCCAGCAAATGAACCAATTATTATACCAATGCATCGTACAAGAGCAGCGTGCGACAGTTCTTCATAGTTGACGTGAAGATGATGGATGAGGTCAATTAGTGTTGGACCAAGGACTAGGCAGTATAAACCCTTGAAGCAACGAGAAAAAAGTAGGTGTATGCATATACATGTACTAGTACTACAGAAATATAAATATCAATCGTAAAAATTTGTAGCATACAACTGCATGGCACTACATCTTGCATTATGAATGTCTTGACACAAAATCACATAAAAAAACNACAGACGCAGGTGATGGCAATATGTACAGACACATCTGTGTCTGTACATAAAAAGGAAACGAAGCAATCATCTCCCAAGTATGGACTTAATTCCTACAGCCTACATGTACCTTGGCTGTGTAATTCTGAGCTTTCCCACTTCATTAGAGCTCCCAGCTTTCTTCCACCTTTCTGCTAAATATTTGGGAACCTGGAAAGCAAAGTTATAACAACTGATAAAAATAACCATTGTACTGTATTTATATTGTTTATTTATTATTTGATAATTTATTATTAACATTTTAGACATATTTGCTGCTGTTCTCGATGTGACAACAATATATACATATATATATATATATATATATATATATATATATATATATATATATATATATATATATATATAATTACAAAATGTAAGCGTCATATTAAGCAACTGTTTATAAATTTATAAATCACAAACAAAACATGTAAATTCATGCTTTGTCATGTAATGTCATGAGTACATGTGTTTAATTTTTACAATATGCTCTACTCCTAGAGCATGCATTTTCAAAAACTGGATTTTACTAGTAGGGCGATTGCATTTATTTCCTTTAACAATGTTTTTTGTTCTTGTTTGAGTTTTTAACACTTTAGTGGACTCGTATGCTAATATTATAAGGTCGTTTTGCATTGCTTTTTAATTATTTCTAAATTCTCCAAACCGAGTTTTCACTGTTTCAGTTTCGCTGTTTACCTTCACCAACCAAACTCCTCTGCTTGCTGCGGTTAAATCCAGATCAGACAACTCGTGAACTTTCTCTGTTTTGTCCATTTGGCCTTTTTGCATTTTAAACGCAAATGCTTACGTTTAACGTTAAATATTGTGGCCAAAAGTAATTTTGCCGAGAGCACGAAATCAACATGTTTTCAGAACCATTGCGCATGCGCTCTCATCTAGTTTCACCTACGTCAACTTCCGGTAAGCGACGACGTGGAAGAAAGACCGTCACAGCTGCGTCAACACTTTCGTTTCATCAACACCAAAAGACCAGAATATTTAATGGTACGCTAAAGTTGAAACGCAAACCCCTTTTCATGGTGTTGTTATGGGTCAGATGTAATATATATATATCCATTTTACAGCCAAAGTTTTACATTTATGTATGGGTTTCGATCATTTAGTTCTGCTACTACAGTAAGCCTACTTCTCTGGACTTCCTTGGGTTCCTACATGTAGGACCTTGAGCCTCAAGAAACCAACATCTTATTAAGATTCTTGTTCTATGTTTGGTTGAAATCTATGGTCGTTGTCACTGATCATTTACTGCTGACGCCTTGATTGTCTAAGGCATTATGAAACTACCTTGTACTTGAGTATATACACAATACATGTATACACCCCCCTAAATGTAGTCCTGTGAAATAAGATCTATTTTGATATTTGATGATCTAGCTGTTGCAGGGGCATCTTGATGGAGTTTGATGTGCTTCACCCCCAGCTGGTCCACATTGGTGGACGGTGTTACAGAAAGTACACCACAAATACTGCCAGCAGAGAGGAAGATGAATACATCCGTCCATATCAAGAAGAAGAATGTAATCTTTGCTCCTTTTTTATTTACTTCTATTGATTCAGAATTAGTTTAATTACACTTAGTTAATGAATAATGTTGTTGGGCCAAGACTAGTACATGTATACTAGTAGCTTAATTGACCTATGAAATGTTTTCTTTTGGTATTTACTATTCTTGACCATGGTTGATCATGTTAGAAGTTTAATTTTTTGAACTTTTAGAAATTGAAAGGTACACTTACTCAATGAGATTAAGCTGCCAAAATGGATTTTTGTAGGCAAATAAGCAATTTTCTTGTACTCACAAATCATTTAGCTATCCCCCTCTGCACTTGGATTCAACCTTTGATAAAATTTATAAAGGTTAATTTTAACTCAAAATGCCTGGCCAATCATTATAACAGATACCATTTTCCTATAAGCTCCAATGGAAATATCAACATCATGTACGCTCCAGAAAAAGGGGGTTACTATAGTACTAAAGCATTTTTAGGTCTATGTAAGGTTTTATAAGAAGCTGTGGATGCCAAAAATAAGAATTTTGGGATTTTCAAACCCATGTAGTGTACCTTTAACCAGTCAATTATCAGCATTCATAATTGTAGACACTTTGTTTGCACTGTACTTGTAGTGATCAATATATCCTGCCATTACTGTTTGCAAAGATGGAGTCGTAGCTGTCCACATTTATTGGTAAAACTTAATTCCTGCATTCTGAAAATTGACTACTTATAGGGATAATAACTATTCATTTCAGCCAAAAAATGAATTTTCCTAGAGTAAACAACAATTTTCCCATACTAACCAATGGTTAATGAATCCATTTTTACATTCAAAGTTAGTCCCTGTTTTTTTTCTAAAAGGTTTGGTTTTTTCTTAAAATCTCTTAAGAGATTTTAACAGAGTATAGCCATCAATGGAGGTCACGTGGTCTAAAGACAAGCTCAGATATCAGAAAAAATAGCTATAACTGCCGTTTTTGTGGTAAAACAGAATACATTATATTTCTATGAGTTATTCACAATGTTTGTATTGTGAAATATAGATCTCATACGAAGAGTTATCATCCCTGTAAAATTTTTTGAAAAAATTTGACATTATTATTTTTTAAATAATAAAAAGATAATTTCTTTTTTATTTCACAGATGATGACAGGGATGTTTACTGTGATGAAATTGTTTTTTAAAATAATAAAAAGATGATTTCTTTTTATTTCACAGATGATGACAGAGATGTATACTGTGATGAAATCTGTGGTGTTGATGTCAATGTTGAACAGACAGAGAAGGGCTACAGATCCAAAATGGACGTACCCAGTGCATATTTCAAGTAAATTATTTTCCTTTTTTCCGTTTTCATGTGAGAGAGTGTCGATCTTTGTATTTCCAATTTGGAAAAAACTCAGTGAAAAGAAAGCCAGTTTATAGTCAATCTTACAGTGCAGATATGATTCTTTTTGTTGAAGATAACAATTTGAAGAATTTTCTTACTAAAAAAAAAAAAAAGACAGAAAGAAAAAGTTAGTATAATAGGTAATTTTTCTAAGGATTATGTATTTGGTTTACTTTGGGGATCAAGGTAAATTTGTTAAAATTTCTTGGAAAATTACAATTTTGCTATAAAAAGGTCTAACATTTATTGTGTGCCTTAATTTTATTATTAAATGTTCAGATTTATCATCGGCAAAAAGGGTGAGACAAAAAGGAAACTGGAGTACGAGACAAAGACACAGATTAGAATACCAAGGCAGGGACAGGAAGGAGACATAGGTATAAAAGTGATCATTTGCCATGTATTTATTTTTTATTCAGCAAAAGCACAACTTAAATGGTGGATTTTGTGGTCAGATATGGCAACCAATTAAAAAGTATACTCTGAGGATCAAATATGGTGACCCACTAAAAAACTTGCCATCTAATCCGCTAATAGACAACGAATAGATGTCCCATGGGGAAGTATGCAAGTGGGTTGGCTATATTTCATCCTAGGACTAGTTAGTCCACTTTTCTGAATGCGGCCTTTGACATAACAATATAGATTACAGTATGATGTAGTCATCACCAGCATCAAAGCTCTGCCTAATTTGATATTTTTGCTTTCCTTTTTATGCAAAATTTTGTAATTACACTTTTTTCAAACAATTGCTACTCTTTAGAGAAACCGTATCTTAAACCAAGCAGATTCTTTTTTGGAAGAGTTTTGATATATGTTTGTCTGTCCATTTGACAGCATGTGCTGCTTATTTTCAGTAATCCATGGCCAAGACAGGAAAGGAGTAGTGTCAGCCAGAACGCGGATAGAAGTAATGGTGGATAGCGCCAGACAGAGGCTGCCATTCACCCACTTTCTCTCTCTCCCAGTCAATGGACAGAAGATTAAAGACGCTTTCCTGGATTTTAAAGCAGATGTTCTGCGTGAATGTGATGGGGTAAGTAGGCTTGTGTGCATGTGTGTGTGCACACGCACATCTTTCTGCATGTGTTTTTGCACGTTTTTGCACCCCCCCCCATTTTAGAGGGCAAATGGTGCATGCATGTGTGCTCTCACACATCTCTGTGTTTTTTTTTTGCATTTGTGTGTGCGTCTGCATGTACGACTGATGGTTTTCATGTTTGTGTATACATTTATGTGTATCCATACATGTGGATGATTTTGTATGAATCTTCATGTATGTACATATATACATACATGTACACTGTATTCATATGTGTGTGTATGTATAAAAAGTTATTTATTTATTTCTTAAATTTTAAACTATTGTTTCTCTCCACAGGACAGAGGCATTGTACCTGCAGTTTTCCAGAACCCAGATAAACTTCACTTGACGCTAGGCATCATGGCACTGATGAATGAGAGTGAGGTTACCAAGGCAACAGATCTTCTGCAGCAGTGTAGGGAAGACCTCGTCAAGTGAGTCGGGGAAGAGTGAAATTTTTATCTCCGAGTCAGTGTAGAGGTGGATACAGGATTATTTGAAGGGGGGTCTGGTTTGTAGGAATGACAGGCAGCGGATACCCAAAAAATTATATATTTTAGAGGGCGAACCATGCCATTTGGTACGGTTTAGAACTATGATTCAGCTCCCTTAATCCGCATCCCCCCCCCAGTGGCAGTGACTGGCGTCAAGTTGATGGAAGTCAGAGCTGTTGAATAGCACTTGTGTTAAGAGCATATATAGTGAGATGTATAGAAAGAAAATAAAAGACTGACGTCACTGCATGTGTCAGGAAGGACAGATTGAATACTTTGGATCCACAAAGATTTGTTTGTATGTTAACTTTTTTGAAAACCATAAATACACCATGTCATCTCAAGTGGTTAGGTGGCATTTTTTGATTGGCTAGGGTAGGGGATTAAAGCATTCAGGCAAGAACTAGCCAGGAGGTTGATTCTCAGACACTCTTGTATCCTGCACTTATGACTTGGTTGCTACTTGGATGTCTGTGAATTTCCATTTTCAGTGCAATGGAAAAAAAAAAACAAGCAGCAAATTGTTGGTTTGAAAGTTTTGATTTTTGAAAAATTTATTTCTGAAATGTGTTTCTCCTTTTTTGCTCTCATTTCAGTCCAATACTTAAGGGAGAACCTCTGGATGCTATAATTCAAGGTCTGGAGTATATGAACGATGAGCCAGGAAAAGTTAATGTCCTATATGCTAATGTCATGCTGCAAGATGGAAGTGACAGGTAAAAATTTTGTTAATCTTTTGAGCAAAGATTAAAAAAAAAAAAATTACAGTGATGGTGTTACAGCTGATTCTTATGAAGAAATAATATGATCTTGTTTAAATATGTGTTAGATGCTGGTTTTATTTGAATAAATTTTGTGTTGATACAGGGGGGAGGGGGGATATTGGAATTAAACACTCTGTCGGGCAGATTATGATAACATTTTTGAGGAAGGTTTTGATAATTCTTGTGACATGTTTTCCTTGATGTAAAATTGTCCATGGCTATTCATTGAAACAATGTGTCCTAGTGTGTTTTTCAAAATTATTAGTTTTTATTTAATTTTATTCCTCCTGAAGATACAAGTAGCTCATTGTCATCTAGCTGTTATAAGTCTTCATGCAAAATCTTTAAATTTGAGATTTTGTACAACATGGTATTGTTAAATAAAGTAACATTAGGTACAGAAATTACTCAACTTAGAAAAAAAAAACTATTTTATTTTTTAAATTTTAATAAATGGTTGAAATATATTTTGTATACTCTGTCACATATTTTACTTTGTCTTTCAGACTTCAGGTACTGGCAGACAGAATAAAGGACAGATTCGTTTCAGCAGGCTTACTTAAAAAGGACAGTTACGAACGGGTTAAGCTGCACGTGACACTTATGAACGCAAAGTTTATTGGAGACGCTCGTAAAGAGATAGCGTCAAAATCCCAGGATGTACGACAGCAGGAACAGCTTCCGTTTTCTGGTGAAAGGGAATATTTTGATGCCACCAATGTGTTAAGAGTAAGTCACGGACGCCCTTACGAAAATTTCCTATAGGAGTCTGTGGAGGCATAGGGGACTCTATGGAATCTGCCACTCTATTAGAATTCTGTCAAATGTCCTAAATGAAACTTATGTCCCATAGGTTCCTAAAGGATTTGGGGTTAATTTCTTACATGACATCCCATAGGAAATTTCTGTAAGGGGTATGTTTATAAAATGTGTAAATCTCACATAAAAAAGATTTTAAACACACATCATAACAGTCATGTGGACATTTGTGTACATATCTGATTGTATTAAATATTTATTTAAAACTGTTCTTTTTTAAAGAAATCCTTCTACATTCCATTTAAGAGTTTGTCTCATTGTTTTTGTTTTTTTCCCCTTTTTGCCTTGTTTCTTATTTTAAAGAAATTATGCCTAGAAGATTTTATGGATATTAGGTGATAGATCAGTTGAAAGCAAATAATCTTTTTATACTAGTACATTCGTGAGGCTTACTTTACCGTACTCAATTTTAGCTTTCTTCTTTTCCAGATGTTTCGGGACTACAAGTTTGGGGAACATCTGATAGACAGCATTCACATATCCCAAAGAGGTTTTTATGACAAAGATGGATACTACACAGCAGCAGCCAAAGTGCCTCTAACATAGCACTAGTGAAAAAGATGCTTCTTTTATGCCATCAAATTTGTGAAGACCATTATCATAACGGGACTCGACAGGATGTGATGTCATCTAGACGTAATCGTACATTTTCCATAAAATGCATTGAAATAGAAGTTTAAAACAGATTGCATAAATTAATTAAATATTAACAGTGCACATGCAATAAAAGTCTTTGAAGGTAAAGTCCACTTCTCTTAACATTGAAATAAAAAGTCTGGTTTTAATGAAAGTTGTATGTTATTGTTTTCAAAAGGCCAGTGAAATTTAACAAGAGTCATAACTTTTCCAATAAGTTTATTTAAACAAATGTAGATATTACATTCCCTGCCCCAAATATCCATGAACTCTGGAACTATGGGTGCTATAGAAAATAGAGGCTAATAATAAATGCGAGTCTTAACTTAATACTGAAACCCAGAGTGTCAAAAATGCACTAAAATCACAAACAAACTGAAACTAGATCTCAATGTTCTGTCTTTGGAAACCAAACACCAGTGTAGGCAGTGCAATTAGCTATTACAATGTAAGCCACTGACAAAAAAAAGCATACCTAAGATTTGACTCCTACACTCATCTTAAGATTTTTTTTTTAATCTTCTTATGCTGCTAGTATATTTTAAATTTAATTTTGTCTATTGTATATGGTCCTTATATTATATAGTGTTATTTTATATAAAAGCCAGTTATCCAGTTTTCAGCTCTGAGCCTTCAAAATTAAGTTTGTGTCTTCACTTTGTGAGCACAAATAAAGATAAAAAAATATATATATTTAACAAAATATCCTGTATCTTAGAACAGCAGGCAACAATATGCACTGAAATATATTACATAAATACAAATTTTCCAATCAACCCTTCACCCATTAATTGCGTTTTACGAAGGCTTTGGATATACTGGGTAGTTTACCTTTCGTTAAAATTGCCAGGAATTTTTTTTTCTTTTTTAAGGCGCAAAACTCATTTGTACTTTTAAAGCCTAATTGATCAAAGGCGTTCTCTCGTCACTTTCATCATGTTCATAATTCTCAGCTATAACACTTCGTGATTCCTGTCTAGATGCTTTCTTTCCATTGATACAACCAATCAACTGCATAGTTACCGTTACCAAGACGCAAATCCCAGCACTCCCTGTTGTCAATAGCAACACTGCTCGACCACCGTAATGTTCGTAGAGATGACCTGCGGCCAGGGTGCCTGTAAGGTCACCCATACTTATCCCAAAGTCCATCAATGACATAACGCAGCCTGTGACGTCTAGATATTTGTCTGCCCAAGCGATGCACAGAGGAATCATGGGACTGTCTACAGTAGCGTAAAGGCAGGAAAGAACCCAAAAGTAAACAAAACTCCAATTCAACGATAAATATATGCCTGTCTGGGCCCCAACATTCAATAAAACTCCCAATATTAACAAAATGTCGAGCCGGACAAACTTGGCAAAGACTATTCCAATTAATCTTCCCACTGCAATTGTTGCATAAAAGGTAGTATTAAATATTATGGCAGTAGGTTTTGTGAAATGCATCTCGTTCACCGCTATGGTGAACATGTAGTTATTAGTTGCGCCTGCTTTGCAGACATCCCCAACCATAAACAGGAAAAGCAGGCCCAGAAGCTGTATGCCAAGCACTTTATTTCCTTGTGCACAGGAAGCTGGATTAACAATGTCCTTGACACGTTTTTCTTCACGACAGTCTCGACTTCGTGGCGACAAGTCTAAATGCACAATTCTGGAATGAATGTAGAATACATAGAAAATGACAGACGTGAGAAGACAAATTCCCCCGATAATCCCATATGTGTACTGGATATGTGTCCTGCTGCAATGGACATCAGAGTCATATCTCTGGTACCCCGCAGTAGGGCTTAGATATCCTTCATGTGGATGCAAGGTACCATTTGTGTTATTGGTACAATGGGAAAGAAATGGTCCAGCGATTAACGGGGCGCCCAGAGCTCCGAGTCCGAACCCCATGTGGACGGCTTGAAGTGGCGCTGCAGCTTTGTCATCCCACATTGCAATCACCATGGCATTCCCACCTGTAAGGATAAAAATTTATGATCACTCTTCCTTAGACAACCTATTTTTCTATTCAAAAGCCAACTGAGACATGCGAATAAGAGTGAATTTGTAAAATAGCACAAGGTTATGTAATATACTTGAGAATAAAAATTCTTCAGCAGGATGGGCGGCATACCAGTAATAGTGCAGTGGCTTCATAATTTGTACAGAATTATGTGGGCAAGACTAGAAAAATTACTGCCTTGCTTGCATGCCTTGGCTAATACGGAAGAAAATATGAAAAAGAGCAGGTGGGCAGAAATACCATTACATTTACGGCACAAGGATGAAAAATTGGCTTTGTCTCGTTTCCTCATTATACAGGTTCGGGGGAGAAGAGTGTAATGCCCAAATTCAAGGCAGGGGGTAGACTACACCAAGTGCACTAACCTCGTCGTCAATCTCCCTAGATCGACCTGCCATAGACATATTTCTTTACAATATTCAATAAATGTATAGTCATATTACCTGCACTAAGTGACCCATGACTTAGCCCCTGCCCAAAAAAGCACAGCCCCAGCACTACCAGCCCAGGAGCCCATGGAATTGCTGCTGTAGATCCCGCTAACAAAAACAGTGCTGTTGCCAATATAAAGTCCACATGGTGGTTGAACTTATCACAGAGAAATCCTCCAGCAAATGAACCAATTATTATACCGATGCATCGTACAAGAGCAGCGTGCGACAGTTCTTCATAGTTGACGTGAAGATGATGGATGAGGTCAATTAGTGTTGGACCAAGGACTAGGCAATATAAACCCTTGAAGCAACGAGAAAAAATTAGGTGTATGCATATACATGTACTAGTACTACAGAAATATATCAATCGTAAAAATTTGTAGCATACAACTGCATGGTACTACATCTTGCATTATGAATGTCTTGACACAAAATCACATAAAAAACAATTAACACTATAGAATCTATTTTGTTTACATGCTTCAATGGCAGACCCACGGTGTGCATAACTTGCAGGGATCAACTCTCCCCCCCATACACACACACAAAAAGACAAAAAAAAAAAACATATCATAAACAACACCAAGCATATTCCACTGTATTAATTTTACATTTACTATTTTTCTTTACAACAAGTGTCTTAATGTTCTATTTGTCTTGCTTTATCTCTACATGTATCTTTTATATATAGTGTATTTAAAAAACTATCATACTTACCATGCTTACCCATATTAATACCATGCAGCCTGTCTTAGCTACACGGTAGCAGTTGAAGGAAGAAACAGCCAGGGAATCTGATAAACCATCTGTAGTTGGGGCAATATGATCTTCTGTGTTGGATTTGCTTTCCATACTTCCACTGGTGTTTTCATCTTTAAATAAAAACAGAATAAATATAAGGTAAATAATAACGTTTATAATTGAGACAGAAAGTCTTTTTAATTAACCTAATATGTCGGATGTGAAATAACACACACACACACACACACACACCAAAAAAAAAAAAAAAAAAAAAAAAAAAAAAAAAAATAAAAATAAAAAAATAAATAAATAAAAAACACACAAACACAAACAAAAAAAAAAAAAATATATATATATATATATATATATATATATATATATATATATATATATATATATTTTTTTTTTTTTTTTTTTTGTGTGTGTGTGTGTGTGTGTGTGTTATTTCACATCGGACATTCAAAAATATGTAAACATAGAATAATTTGAATAATTAATTTAATAATAATTTCCGTATTATATTGTCCTGTTTGATAATAATTTAAATATAAATTCTTTAATACGTACAGTACTATCAATTAACGCATCATTTTTATCAAATTGTATAACATAACATTTGACTTATCAGTGTAGGATTAATACCACTCACGTCATTATGTTTTCATTGTCACAATATTAATTAAAAGACGGTGAAAAGACCCCGGTCCTAAATCTTAATTCACCGTACATCACAGACACAGTACATGTAGTAAAAGAAATAATGACGTGGAAAATGAAAATAAAAATAAAGAAATAAATAAAAACGCTCAGATTGCAATTAACTGCACACAGCCGTTCTGTTGTGTATGGTAATGCACTGTGGTAACTGTTACTTGTGGACTTCAGCACTGCCACTGTACAATATCTATATAGTCTACTCACGAAATGCAGCTGACTTGCGGTTGAATCTACATACGTGCAGCATATATACAAGCACCGACCTCGTTGGACTGCTCGGCTGTTCATAAATTACGGCTCAGCGACTCCACATTATGCAAAGCACTATTTTCAATTCAAGAAGAGAACATGTCTTGTCAACTTTTGGTGTTGATATTAACAAAAAAAGTAGTTTCGTTTTTATTGCAATAAATATGTGTAAAAATAAATCAGGAAAATAATAGCAGCAGAGGTAACTAATGTTGTGAAAAGGTTTCAGGTAAATATACAATTGACACGATTGGTGGAAATTAACTAGGTCAACCAATCAGACACGAGAACAGCGGCTTCCGGTGTATGTGAATTTCAATTCAAACAACGTGTTTCGGCGAATGCAATGTTGATATTCTAGCGAAAATATTTCGCTACCATTGTTTTGGTCTTCAAGTACATTTACAACGGATATTTTAGCTACTTATCGATCCCAACTATTGATATGATTGATACGGGAAAGATGGGGCTGCAAGTTTAACCAGGAGAGGGCGAAAACTTGCAGGTTTTTTAAACTTCGCATATTTGTCGCTGAGTAAGTTGAACAATTATTTTTTGAAAACATTAACCAAATAGTAAGATGACATCGAGAAGAACATTTTTGAGACCTTTAACTACAGACCAGCTGGGTCAAAAGACGTCAAAACAGGTAAGCATTATCTAAGGGAATTGCATATATGTATTTTAAATTCAAATTGACTTCAACCTTATTGCAGTTGCCATAACCGATTTACAGTTGGGCTCTGTTTACCGTAATACTTGTGTTTTCCTAATATTTATGGGGTTCTGGTCTAAATATTTTTTTACGCATAAGAAGTATGTGATTTTAGTAAAGTATTGTAACAAAAAAAATTTACTAGACTGAGCATCTTGTCCATTTTATAAACCAAATGTCCTACACACACACACACACACACACACACACACACACACACACACACACATATATACATACTAATATACACACATAAAATGCAAAAAAAAAAAAAAAAAACACTTGGTGTCGTTCAGGTTCACTTTGACAAAGCAGCAACAGCAGGAAGCAAGCGGACAGCTGAGGGATCACTGGCGGAGCAGAGCGTGGGGCCAAAGAAAAGAACTGCCTTTGGGGATCTTACAAATGTATTTTTAGTTTAATTTACTATTTAGAACCATTTCCTTATAATTTATCTATATTGTCATTTAATTGTAGTCAAAGTATTAGAAGGGATTGACAGATTTTCTGTAAGTGTCAGAAACTAAGTTTCAAGATATTAGAATTGCATCTTTTGCATGGTTTTAAAAGGTTTTGTTGTTTATATTCATTTTATAAATTGATTAATTTATTATTTTTTTTTATCTGACATGCAAATGTTTTCTACTGCTTGCCCTGAAACATGTAACCTTATTTATTTTTACAGCAGATATATCATATTCTTTGTTTTCAGGCCAAAGAAAAGAAACACAATGGGCTTTCAAAAAAGCCTGTTCTAAACAAGACAACCAAAGGTCTTATGGTCAAAAACAACAAAAAAGCCACCGTACTGCTAGGAAAGCAGAGAACAAAAATCACTGACGATTCTGGCGAGACGATAGACCTAACCCAGGATTCTCAGTCCAGTTCACAAGAAAGTAGTGGCAGTAGTAGCAGGTGAGTAGAGCGCCATCTGTTGGGAATGCTGGGAACCATTAAACAAAACATTTTTAGGATTTGAATCAACATTGTTAAGACATAAAGAAAATGAATGTATTTGTAAATAGTTAAATACATATGGATGAAGATTATTGGTAGGTAAGTTAAGCAAAAGATTTTCATTGTCTCTTTCGTAATAATGGTGTTCATGTTGAAATATGCCTCCTGGGTAAAACACAGATTTAGTTCTTTTACTTCTTTATAAACAATCTTTTTTAGTTAAAAATGTAATCTTCGTATTTCAGTGACTCTGAAATTGAGTTTCTGAACAAGAAAAATGTTCAACTCTCACAAGAAATAAGACCATCAACAGAGGAGAAGGTAAAGTAAAGAAGTGAAAGCTTATACATTTTTTCAATAACCAGTTCTTCTCCTTTATATCATAATTCACTATTAGTATGACACTGCAATTGAATCTGAATTCATTATCTGTATAAAACTGACACTGAGACTTAAATTGTGACTTAATACAGACATTATGATGTTAAAATATGATACATCAATTGTGATATGTCGCTATGCTTTGTCATGACTACCTCCATGCCCAATACCAGTAAAATTGATAAGACAAAATATCAGGGATATCAATGAACTCGACATAATTTCACCATGGGGAGTTCAACACCCTTCATATCAGCTTTTGGCCAGAGGATTCTGCGCCAAGGTGAGCTGAGGAGGTCAGTAGGCTGAACAGATTTTTGGCATAGATGGATGTTCAATGTTGTTTATTTTTTAACAGGTGCCAGATGGCGTCGATGATGTTGATGCTGAAAATCGGCTGAACACATACGAAGTGCCGCTTTATGTGAGGGACATATTTGAGTATTATAAACAAAGAGAGGTGGGTGTTGTTTTATGTAGAAAAGTTGTTGAAAAGGTTTTTTTGTTAGTGAGAAGGACCATTGAGTTTTCAAAAGATAAAAGAAAGATGAAATTCACTTGCTATGGTCAAAATTATAGCTCAAAAACAGTTTGATGGCAATTTTTTTTTTTTTTTCAGTTATGATAGGGTCCACTGAGAGTTTTTTCTTTCCCCTTTTTTCCATAAAAACCTTACGAATTTGTGAAATTTGGATTGCCTGATGCTGAATCTTGACATATATAAGTATGAATATATACAAATGTTAATCCAATTTAGGAAAAGTTCATGGTATCTGGTTACCTTGACAAACAATCTCATCTCACTACAAACATGCGTGCCATACTGGTGGACTGGCTCGTTGAGGTGCAAGAAAACTTCGAGCTGAACCACGAGACACTGTACCTGGCCGTCAAGCTGGTCGATCTCTATCTGACCAAGGTCGAGGTCACACGAGAGAATCTCCAACTGGTCGGGTCAACGGCAATGTTTATCGCAGCGAAATTTGATGTAAGTTGGCACAGCATGTCTTAGATTGTTGTATGTGCATATTGACAGACCTACTAAGAGTAGGACAGGTGTTTGCATGGGCACGGCAGAGATATTCCGCTTGTCATTAACAACAAAAACAAAAGAAAAGACAAAACCAAGCAATTTCACATCACTGCACCCTATACACTGTTATCAAATTAGCCATTTCATATTTGCAGGAAGGAGCAAGGCGAATCCTTTCAAAAATTCTTTTGCCTAGTATGTATTATGTGATACTATGTAAACTCTTATTTTGTGTTATGTTACAGGAGCGCGTCCCGCCAGCGCTGGATGACTTCCTGTACATCTGCGACGACGCGTACAACAGGGAGGAACTCGTGGGCATGGAGATGTCCATTCTGAAGACAGTTGACTTTGACCTTGGTGTGCCTCTCTCATACAGCTTTCTCCGCAGGTTTGCTAAGGTGGGTATGTGTATGGAGTCCTTGATGAAAGTGAACTTAAAGAACAATGGATCTCGTAAAATGGTCTGATAAAATTATTAAAATAACCTGTCATTTTAATTATATGATAGATTTTCTGTGTTCAGATGCTGAAAAAACTTGCATTACTTTTAAATTATTCATTTTATAAATATTTTTTTCTAGAATGATCAAGGATAAGAATTGCAAATATTGTTCTAATTATTATAATCATTATAATATTTATTATTTCAGCTCAATGAGACACCAGATGCAGACAACAGAACTAAGAAGGAAAGGAAAACTGTAAATGATACATTTTTATCGTATATATAATCAGATGTAATTATCTTCTCTGTCCCGCAGTGTGCGAGAGCGCCCATGAATATCCTCACTCTGGCCAGGTACATTCTGGAGACTTCACTCATGGACTACCAGTTCATCCAATACAAAGATTCAGAAATGGCCGCCGCCTGTCTTTTGCTGGCGCTGAAAATGAAGAAAACTGGAGAATGGGTGAGAGGGAGAGAGAGATTTTTTTCTTTATTTTTTGTTTTCAAAAGTGTTGCTTTGTTTGTTTGTTACTTGAGAAGATAACTCCAAAAATAATTGGAAATTTAAGAAAAAAATTTAGGGGAGACAATCATTATTATTAGCGGCTGAAATAAATGATTACAATTTCAGGGCAGGTCTTTATTTTGACATTTTCTTTAGTGGAAATCTGCACTCTTTGTGGGGTGGGGATGAAATAAATTCAAGGGTTATAGATGTTCTATGTTTTGTGTCTGTTTTTCCAGTCCAAGACTATGATATACTACACGGGCTATAATATTGAGCACCTTATGCCCATCGCGGTGGCCCTGAACACGATGCTTACGTCCCCAAGTCACAAGAACCTCAACACAATTAAGTCTAAATACTCACATAGGTATGAATATGTGTGTGTGTGTGGAAGAATAGGTTCCTTATCCTTTCTTTTATTATTAAAGGGTTCGAGAAGGTGAAAGTGTGTTGAGATAGATAATTGTGGCATTTTGTCTTTTTCTTCACACACTGTACTTAAATAATGTGCTGAGTAACTACGTCTTGGCTTTCTTCATCCCTAATGTGTGATTAAATTATAGCACAGGTGCTGAGCTTACTTATACCCATATTTGGTGAGCCTTAAGTTTTGATGCACACTAGGCATTACAGTTTTCCCAATAATATCTTGATAGGCAAATAGAAATGTGTCTCAGAACTATTCATAAAACTATTCATTTTTAAATTCACAGAACATCAGGACAAATTTAAAAAAAATACATATATACAATATGAATTACTCAATATAGTAAATAATAATGCTTTTTTATAATTTCTTTTTTAGTGTCTTTTTCGAGGTTGCTCTGACACCACCAGTGGACATGGTGGAACTGACCGTGGACATATCATAACTGACCATCATCCAGTGTGTGCAATGAGGATGTCTGAGCCAGGGGTGACCAATAGGTGGACGTGGCCTGCATAGCGGGAACCACATGTTAACCAAAATTATCTTAACGTGAAGCATTTATGGCAATTTTATATTGAATTTATTTTTTCTACCTTTAAAATGGGGTTTATATCAATTTTTTTACCTCCCAGGTATTTTTGTCAATTATAGTATGAAAAGGGAAGCTTGTGCTGTTTTACATGAAAGAAAACTCGAGTCAGACAAGAGAGTGTTTAATTCGATTCCAAATTGTGGTCCTTTTGTCAGGAATTTGCTTATTGACTAAGTAAACACAATGCTGGGTGTCAGATCAAATCTGTATAACCCTGAATTTCATAGGCGCACAGAAATTGTCGTGGAAAGAGGCCCCTCTTGTCTGGTACGCTGTGACCTTGAGCAGCCTCTCTCTGAGACACAACCAGCACATTGCTGATGCTGAAGGCAACCTGCACTGTCGCAATTTAAATCAAGATTGTGAGAACTTGTATCTCGACCTATATAGGAAATGATTTAACATTATGATATAGCAGTAACTTACTCATTTGTCTGCAATAATTGCAGACTTGGCAGCAGATTTAACCCTTAAATCACTGGTTAAATTGATTAACGCCCAAGTTGTGGAGGGTAGTTTTGTAGTGTACAGTTAGTATGTAGGTTTTACGCAGGTGGTATGTTTGTGTTGATCGTGAACAAATAAAGGTGAAATGTTGGAGAGAATGTGACTTGCGCTTGTGCCATCATTTCTTTACAGATATAACCCAGGGCCAATTTTACAGAAGAAATTGTGAAACCTGAAGTTGGTTTTAACTATGACTATGAGACTAAAAATTTTAGTCCAATGTCAGTATTAGTTGGAGTCCACGAAAAATGAAGCATTGATTTGTTTTATAAAAAAATTTTTTTCTTTTAATTGCTTGTTATAGAACAATGACAGTGAATTTATTTTAATGGACTACCATAACTTCATCAATAATTGAAGTAGAATAAAATTTGTCGGTCTTGGGTTCTTTTATGTAGCTGGTTGCAGGCCTGTCTGGAAAACTAAATTTTGAAATTTTTTGCCCCACAGTCTGGATTATCATATAAACTGTGGGGGTAATTGTTGTACAATAAATCTGTTATGAGTGAGTGAATGTGAACAGTGAGTTGTATCATGTAAGGGGGTCATTTATTTCATTTAATTCATTTTTAATAATTTCCTTCTTGTTGGGACACATTGGATGCTGTGTACATCTGTGCTCGATGAATTTAGAGGAACATGTTGATGCTAGACTATAGCAGTTGATTCGTTTTCTGTGGCAGGGTCTATCTAGGTAGCCCAAATACTCATTGGGCAGAAAATTTTTTTGTCTTTGGTTTTAGATTCTCAGGGCCTGGTGGTCATAAAAGAATATTACATCTTAATAACTGTTAAGACAGACAATGAGTGTCAGACTTTTATTTAGCAAACTTTTAACTCGAAGCTAATCAAGATAGACATTTTGGTTCAGGGTTTCATTTGTCACAATGGCAGATGGCTTCAACTTTATTGTCAAAGTCACAAACAACATATACATAGTCGCACTTTTGCAAAAGTCTGCAATTAGGATATGCCATACAGAAATTTCCAGCCATCCTATTGAAAGTCCCTCTGCTAAAAAAACATCCTTAAGTTTCAGTAGTAATGAAACTTTGCAGTGAAGATGTACCAGTATGGTATGGCAACTTCCTCTCTCGTTTTACAATAGGACATGTTGAAAACTCAACCGAAACTACAATATATTGAAAATAAAATGTTTTAAAAAGACCATGTTTTTGTGTTTATCATTTTTGATTTTTATTTTATTCATTTTCTGAAAAGGTGACATTTGATGATAAAGATCAACAAAAGTTATATCCACTTTGAAATATTCGTTTTATGTGTAAATGTATTTACAAATTTAATTCTAAAATGGCATTGATGGACAAAACGTTTGCAATAATTGTAATCATGATAAATGAATAGATTATTGTATCGTAAATCTTGCATAAACCACAACATATAACATACCAAATCTGAAAGTTTCAGTTGCACCTAGTACCAGTTTTGTATAGGCATAAAACTGACAATATATGTTAAACAGACAAAAATAGCAGGTCCCAATTAGTATGACATATACAAGATTTACTTTACTATGCTCATAAAATTGAGACATTCAAATAATGCACAGACTGCTTTGCAGTCTAAAAGTGTTTGAAAAAGATCAGTACAGAACGTGAAAACTTGGGATGCAAAAGGCACATCTTTAAAACATTTAATATACCTTAGTGGGTGTAAAGAAAAGAGCCAGATATACTTCATCATATGTGCAAGTCGCTTCTTTCTCTTTTTTTTTTTACATCCACCATTATGATAGTATAACTCGTCAACACCATTCGTCAGCAGGTGATAAGTGCAATCGTGAAGCTGATTCATGGTGTACCTTCAATTTATATGTACAGGCACATACATAATACCAGATTGAACATGGGTTATCGCTTAAAGATGCATACTAAGCCAAATTTTGTGCCATAAATCCTGTCCAAATGCCACCACATAGTTCCATATAGCATATCTTAGAGATATAACACTTAATATTTCCGGAAAATAGCATTTAAACAGTCAATCAATAACTTATGTATTTTTCTTTAGTAGATTTTTGCCATAATGCAACAAATGTACAATTAACGAAATTATGTAGTATCAAAGCAAATATTGAAGGCAACAGAGTATCAAACTATCCGTTTCCTTTGTATAGTTGTTATTCTACTGTTAACATATGATGAGTATAAGTTCTATGCAGTAGGCAACTGTGCTTTACTTGAGTTATACTGAAAGGTACACGTGTTGACTAGAAGTAATGACAGTTACAGGGTGTGGCTGGGACATACTAGGCCACGTGCCTTAGACTGCGTTCCCATAACCTTACCATTCCAGCTGGATCAATCTAACTCGGCAGGGATTCTCACTAAGGCACAATCAATGTAATCAGCTTAATTGTCTGGCACTCCTTTCTTGCAACATCATGGACCACAAAACTTTCCCAACTTTACCCAAGGGAGACGTGTCAGACATTTAAGTTGCTTAAACTAAATGCAATTTAGTGAGAATGCTCAGAGTTTGGTCCATCCAGCTAGTACAATAGGGTTATGGGAACAGCCCCTTAAACCAAATGGAGTTACAACATTTGAACTGGGGTATTATATGTTACACGTTAAACTGTTGTAGTCATGGTTAACTTCACAGAATAACAAAGATGGTCAGTAATACGTATCACAAGGTTACAGACTCTAGTATACAATACGAGGGTTGATTGATAAGTAGTGGGCCTGGTGTGGAAGGGGTTAAGCAGGGATATCCCTTTTCAGCCCTTCTATTCCCTGACTATTTAAAGGTGTGTAGGTGAAGTTTGGTGTAATTTGGTTAGTTTATGTCGACGAGGCAGCGGAAAGCTCAGGAAAGGTGTTCTGTTCCTCCAGGACAATGCCCCTGCTCACAAGTCTGTCATTGCCATGGCTGCAATCAACAAGTGTGGCTTTGAACTGATAGAACATCCACCTTATTCGCCTGATCTTGCTCCCTCTGACTATTATCTATTTCCCAAATTGAAAAAGGCCATTTCAGGTACTCACTTTGTGTCAGATGATGACGTCATATGTTTAGTGGAGGGGTTTCTGAATGGCCAAGAGAAGGGCTTATATAAAAGTGGCATAGAGGCTCTCAAAACTTGCTGGCTAAAGTGTATAGATACTCAAGGAGACTATGTTGAAAAATAAAGAAAAATACTTGTAAAATGTGTACTCCTTCTATATGAGGCTCACTACTTATCAATCAACCCTCGTACATAAAACCATTGGTGATTTGAAAATAGATTATTTAACATTTATTGATAATATTACCTCCCCCCTCCGAGAAAAATTCTGCATCTTATTTCTAAAACTCCAGTGAAGATTTTAAATATACATATACATTAATAATAGTGAATTCTTAACAACAGGAAGCTACATGTATCGTCAGAGATTCTATTACTTTATTCATCTTCCCTTTCATATTCTTTATACCTTTCTCAAAAGACAATTTGATGTGATTGATGTTCATTTCAACAGAAAGAGTGTCTTGAATTTCTCACCTCTACAAATGTAAAGTTACAGTAACAATAATTTTTGATGTTGAATGAAGCTATACAGCTTAATTCTTCATTAATATTTTCTTATCTTGGTCATCATTATTGTGGCTGAAAACTCAGTCTTTGGTCGATTTAATGAAGTGACCTTAACAATTCCAATTTTCAATTGCACCATATCTCGAGTGTTCAGTATTTCATAATCAACCAAAATAAGTGGATTTATTATCACAATCTGGTGAGGATTAGGCTTCTCTTGGATCAAGTGCATCCCTCTGGTGTCTGTTTATCGCGCTGCAGCTATGGCCCCTTGTCCCTGATCTACCCTCTCCAACTTCTCAAAATGTTTCCTGGCATTTTTTATGTTGATTAAAGTGGCAGCAGAGGCTGAAATTAAAACAGGAAATCAAAATATTTTTACATTTTGACCCCAACGTCATTGACAAAGGTCTCAGACTGGACCAAAAACACTGATGTACAATGTAGGGTGCAAAAAAGTTGTGCAAATATAAATCATTTTTAACGCCGTAGTTATTTTACACCACACTTGACTTTTGATCAGATTTATGGATTGTTAATCTGAGAATGGTTTTGAATATGGCATACTTTAGTGATTATCATTTAAAAAGAGCTGAAAATTCCACAGCAAATGTCATTTTCCCAACATAAAGGTCTATGCCCATTCTGAGTAATACTTTGCCATCAGTCAAGGCATAAAAAGCTGGCATGTGCTACTTACGTATTGTAGGATCAGACATGATGACCATTACATAAGTGTTGGATGTGAAGACGTCAATAAAAGCGGCAAAACTGGCATTTCTGACCTCCATACTCTGAAAAGAAGCCGCGAGCTTGCTGCAGCTCAGCTTGAACTGCTTGATGATGTTGCTTATCTTCTCGAATCTATGCACATCTTTGTGGGGCTTTCTTATGCAGTTGGATATCACCTGAAAGAGATTCATATTGTTCTTATCTCCACATTAGTTCTTAAGTAGTTTACGAAATGATTAGGTTTATAAAAGGTATTTTGATATATCACCACTAAAGTGTCTCGTTAGGTTGGTTGAAAAACCCGTGTTGAAAATCCATTTCAGCATTATCAGAATATTTTGGAAAACATATATGCCAGTAAGTACATATGCTCAATTTTTATATATATTTAGAACAGACATGATATTCAAAATAAAATGTTCAAACAATAACATAAATTTGCCAGAAAATGTAAATTATTACAGTTACAATTTTCAAAATGCAAGATACTAAACACAGCTACAAATCTTATTACAATTCCAATGGAAAAAAAAAAAAAAACAGCTACTAATGACTCAGGTTGCTATCTCACCAGAAAGGTGGCTCTCTCAAATAACAGGACCTCATCTGCGTCGATGATGTTGGCAAAATGGGTGAGGTTGGTCTCTAGTTGTTGGACATTAGGGATTAACATGTACACTATACATGACCAGGCCTGAACAGAAATAAACTAACGAGTTAGTCAATTTATCACATTGTAAATAAATGACTTACATAGTTCTGATAACTTAAAGCAAATAAATAAATGTATGAATGGACATATTAGAATTTCTCCCATTTTTGAACATATAATCCAGCAACTTTGTTACATAAACTCTCTTGTATATGTGAAAAGGAGTACCCAGAATTCTACAGAAAAATGATAATTAATATATACAATAATATATAAATACACAAATGAATAAAAGTTAAGAAATAAATTTTTCACATCGGTGCATATGTGATGTAAATCCCTAAATACCTTATACAATGTTTCATCCCAAATGGAAGTAGCAAAGCACGTACACTNTAACAATTCCAATGAAAAAAAAAAAGAAAAAAAAAAAAAAAAAACAGCTACTGATGGCACAGGTTGCTATCTCACCAGAAAGGTGGCTCTCTCAAATAACAGGACCTCATCTGCGTCGATGATGTTGGCAAAATGGGTGAGGTTGGTCTCTAGTTGTTGGACATTAGGGATTAACATGTACACTATACATGACCAGGCCTGAACAGGAATAAATTTATAAGTTAATTTATCACTTTGTAAATAAATGACTTACATAGTTCTGATAACTTAAAGCAAATAAATAAATGTATGAATGGACATATTAGAATTTCTCCCGTTTTTGAACATATAATCCAGCAACTTTGTTACATAAACTCTCTTGGATATGTGAAAAGGAGTACCCAGAATTCTACAGAAAAATGATAATTAATATATACAATAATATATAAATACACAAATGAATAAAAGTTAAGAAATAAATTTTTCACATCAGTGCATATGTGATGTAAATCCCTAAATACCTTATACAATGTTTCATCCCAAATGGAAGTGGCGAAGCATGTACACTCTAGTGGCTTTGACAGTCTTTTTAAATCTTCTTCTCTTTCTCTGAATATCTGGGATGAAAAATAATTAAATAAATTAAAAGACATTCAACAAACCTAACAAGTGTTATACTTTGCCTGATATATCCTATATATATACAGTACTTCAAAAATTGGACATCTTCGGCCAATATACATTTGTAAAACATCATGGCTGCTGGTGAAAGTTCTAAAAGATGCTTACAAGAATAAAGCTTTCTAAGCTCTGTCCTGTCACTTTCTCAAGTTTTGAACTGTAACTCTTCATTGAAATGCATATTAGTAAGCTACCGTATTCAAATCCAAATTAGAATCTTAACTAACATGTTTATTGGAAGATATCATGGCAGAAAACAATTTACATTTTATACGTAACATATCAATTTTTACTATTAAGTCTTGGCTCTTTAAAAATACTTTTTTTAATCTGAGATGGTAAAACAATTTCCATTTTTATGTATTATATAATAATATATACAATGGCTGAATAAACTTTATTATTATTATTATTATTATTATTATTATTATAAAAACACAGTCAATTTTTTCAACTCACTAATTCCCTTTGGTCCTCTTGCACTAAGTCCATTTTGTGTACTAGACAGAAAACTTTGGCATCTGGAGAATTCTGCAATATGGCCTCCAGACAGGACTGGTAATAGTGCATGTCCTTTTCTAGTTCGCGACTCTCCACGTCAAAGACGTATATTAAAACTTCTACATTGCGGAATATGTTGTCACGCTGGCTAGCAAAGTAGTTCTCCATGAAGGCCTCTTGTCTGAAAAGTTCAAACATTAATGTGATAACAATATCATTTAAGTCATGTTTTAACATGAGATTGCATGTTCAAGAGGTGGTTAAGATAAAATGTGAGTTAAAACATTATATAGCAAAATTTCAATATTTCTGAAAATTTCAATAACTTACTCTTGCTCATCAAGGCATATCCTTTCTTAAACAATTGAAAAAATTATAATCTAAAAACCCATTTGCAAAGAAGTGCAATATTTCTATTTTTTACTGTCACAAGTGAAATTCATCAGTCTTACACATCTGACAAAAGCAGATTGCAAAATCTGAACTTTAAATTAAAACTTTAAGAAAATTTATCATTAGTTATGCTTTTGAAACACTTCTAAACTGTGCTCACTCACCCTCCACAATCCCACAGGTTCAACACCAGGTTACCCAGGAATCTGACATGAGAATGTTCTACATCAACTGAAACATCAAAAAGAGAAATCTTTAAGAAATGTTAAATAATATAAGTCATTTCAACCATGAATTTCTCATTTACAACACCATCATACTAGTACCCTAGAATTTCAATACTTTTTAACATTTATGTCACAATGATTTTATTCTACTTCTTTTTTTCTGATAACTTTTTCTGCAATTCAAAATTTCTCTTCATGCTCTAAATTGAATGAACCTTAAAGAGACAAAAATCCAATTTTGCTTCCTTAAGCCAGAAACTGGAGTGGTATACAGTATATTGCTATTGGTTTCAATCAATAAACAAGGCAAATTACAACTTTTCACACAATGACAGTGACAAGGAGCTCAGTTTCCTGGCACTTTTTATAAAATAAAGGTGCAACTAGGAGTTTTGCCAGAAACCATTTGTATGTAACTGTTCAGATTGATGTTTACTTCTAAGTTCTTTATTGAACACTGAACTCACTTGTGGCCCCCAACCTCCTTGTGTCTCTGGCGATATAGTTGGCAAATATAATGGACCTCATACTGGTCTTCCCTGAGCCACTCTTCCCCATCAACAGCACCTAAATGAAAACAAGTTACAGAATTGTACAATTATCAATACTATTGATTATTGAACAGGTATAACATAAATGTACTGGTAATATATTTCATGTTATCAAACACTGTCATAGGTCGCCTCAGTTTTCAACCTTAAATGCTAGGTAAAAATGTACTTTTTATTATTCTAGGCAGTGTCAGTAATCCCATGTCCTAATTTTTTTAAGATTGGAGAAAAGAAGAATTGGAGTTCATTTGTTGCTTATGTGTATTCAGAAGGAAAAGGCACACTTTTGACTGTCATTTCTCTCCTTGAGTCTATGTGAATACCTAAGGAGGCCAGTGAGATCAGCAAACATAACAGGGAGTTCACGCTTCATGTATTGAAATTGAAAATGGACTAAAAATGAGAGGGCATTCCGACACTTATTACAAATGTAACATTCTCAACCGCACTGTATAAAGACAGTATGAAAATCTTGAAAGAGCATTCATTGGAAGAAGGCAGTTTGAGCAGCATGACAAGTTTGCAATTTTGCTGTGAAATGGTCTCTCTTGAGCTCAAAGACAGCACAGTGAAGGGACATGAACAATTTCTTTAAAAAAAACCTAAACATCAGCAGCCAATAACATCTTTAATGTGAGTGTTTACCGGTACTCACATTGAGTGTAAAGGACAAAAAATTAATCAATCAGAGAGGATGCGTGCAACAAAAACTGTTGTTTTACTTTCAGTGCTCTCAGACCAGTAATTGGTATGCCTTTTCTGACTATTTCTTAGCTAGCAGAATAAAAATCTAAGACTCTAACTACTCATAACTTTCCTTAAAACCGACTTAACCGGATACCTACTTCAGCCAATTTTAATGAAGAAAAGCTGACAAAATTTTCAAAGATCTGAAGACCTGTGGCCTGTCAATAAAATGACAGTTCAGTGCATGTTCACGATGTCATCGAACTGATGTCATCCGACATTTTCAACAAGCATATTTATGTAACATATATCTAACACAATTCTAGCTTTCTTTAGTAATTGGAAAGGTTAAAACTGTCCTCTTTAATCTCCTTACCTTCTTTTTCATCGTCGAAGGCATCCTGGTTGAATTCACGGTTGTAAAAACATCAAAAGAACCCCTTTTTCTGCTGTGGCGTCAGATTTGTGTCACAAGATTACCATTTACTGCGATCCTACTGTTGACCTATTTATGACTAACACGCTTTTATTTGCAGCACTGATTTGACAGGGGGAAAAATCATCTTTTCTTTTTATCATATTACGAACGGAAAATCTCTAGCCTATATTTAAACCAATATTCTGAATTCCAAATTATTTAGAAAAGTTTAAATTGACTAGACAGTAAATTTGCTGCTCCCACCTGTCAGGTCTTGGTGAGCAGTCGGGTCTGTGAGTAAGCTATTTCATTATCAACATTTTTTCAAAGAAATAAATGCCATAAAAAATAAATGAAAGTGAGATAAGAAATATAGTGTATTTTCCCTGTTTTATTATTATTATTATTATTATTATTATTATTATTATTATTATTACAAAGCAAATTAAATGTCTATAAGTGTTTTATAAAGGCGAAATTGTTTTTTCCCTTTCTTCTTATATAAAGATATTATTTTTTAAGGTCTATAGAGCACCCGCAAGCTGCCTCGCACGGATGCCGAGTTCTAGTCACAGTTGTAATAAAATTATAAATATATAACTAAATAAGATAACGAAAATAATTCAACGAAAAAGAAAATAGGCCTACCATTCTGTGCCCTGTTGCAGGTAATAAACTTCACAACAAAATATTTTTTCTTTATCTTCTCTTTATTTTACAAAATATTCGGATACATGCAGTTCATAAAAGGAGATTTAAAAAACCATTGCTTTCATTTCTATAAAATATTTCATTTCTATCCCTCCATCGCAGTCCCTTATTTAGTTTGAATTTTATTCTATGTACATATTGTATTAATGTTCCAACTCCGTCCCCTTTCCTTTTTTTTTTTTTTTTGCTGTTTCACAGTCTTCGAACCCTACTCCCCTTCTTTTAGTCCACTAGCTCCCTCATCCAATTTTTTCTTTTTTAAAAAATATAAACTTATATTTATCTTTTTCATCCATGTCCACGTATCCTTTCCCTTCCCTCCCCATTCTTCATGCCTCAAAGAGGCTTTACGCTTCACTCCCCTCCCTTTTTTTTTTCCTTTTTTGTCTTTGTCCCATGTCTGGCAAAGTCTTCACACCCTTCGCCCGTGTCTTCGAGGTTTCCGACGGGTGCTTGGTCTAGCATCAGCAGAATTCTCGAGGCCCGTGGCACGAGGTCCGGGGGTGGCATCCAACAGACCCGCATATGGGTCCCGTCGAGTGGGAGGCCGAGCATGGTGGAGAGCTCTCAGAGGATTATTCCTGCTCTGGAAATAATGGACATGGTCTTCGATGGAACGCATGGCAGTTGTTCTGTGTCCAGTAGTCAGTGAGTTCTGGACTCCAGCACCACACCGTGGTAGGCGGAACGGGCGCGCTCCGATGTCCGCAGGCGTCACGGGACGACCCAAGGGCCGTAGAACTGATGGTCGAGGGGCCGTGGGTGGGTGAGGGGAGAGCGGCATTGGAGTCAGCCTTGGAAGATGGACCTGAGTCGCTGTCCCTCTAAATGCCATTGGCACCGGGGAAGGGGTCCTTCTTCTGGCATCAAAAATGCCTGGTAGTCTCACAGGAGAACCGTTTTCACTAGATACGGAAAGATGTTTAATACCAGGCAGCATGAGACAGACAAAGAAAGAAACAAGAAAGGAAATGAAAAGGAACGTTTTTATCTCTATATATAAAAAACACTGGAATCATAAAAGAGCAACGAGTAAGCTAAATATTTATAGTTTTAACGTTATAAAAGCGAGAACTTTCCAAAGACTGCATCATCTCAACCCACCCCTTCACCCCAACTATTACACCAGGATAAATAAACGCACGCAATTCTAAGATATATTGTATTTTATAATTTAAAACACATTTAACAAAGGTTCACTCACCGTTCCCGTATATTTATAAACACAAACTTTTGCAAATTGCTCATTTTCGCTGAGATTTCGATGAAATCGCAACAAGCCAATCGTGCTATCCGAACAAGGGATGACGATTGATTGAGAATGACGTCACAATGTTGACGTGAGAATAACGAACTCTCGTGATTAAAAATAAAATTTAAGAGAAAGAGAAATAATAAAATAAGGTTTGTCAAATGTTTTTATTTTCAACTGCTGCTCTAATTATTATCGTTCAAATAAAATGTTGAAGAAAATCGTCATTTCAGATCGTCAAAATATCCTAGCTGCGTGGCCATATTCACAAAGAAGTATCCATGGTGACGTCACACTCCGCAACACGCAGCTTTCAGAATTTTTGAACCCTAAAAAATTGTTTAAAATAATAATTGTGACATCAAATAAATAAATAAATAAATGAAATATCATATTCAACTTTATGGAATTAAATACGTGAAGGATATATAAGAGCGCAGTTTTCACTGCGCCCAATTACGTATCCCAGGAGGTTCTTTTTTAAAACACCGATACATCTTTTTTATGTGCTAATATTTTCTCGGGAGTAGCCTATCATTAAGTTATATTTGCCAGGATTTTCCAGAAGTTGTTCATATAGTCCTTTAAGAATCTTCGGGATTCAAAAAGTGACTTTAAGATTTGAACAAAAAACAACGGATTTTATCAGCAATAATTTTTTATTTGACTTGTTATGAACGAGACTTAGATATCAGGAAGGGGACGTGGGATTTATGGATTTTCAGCGAATCAAATAAGGCCGACCCACCTGAATACTTGTTGCGTAGACTAATCCCCGCAGGGAATGTATTGTGACGATGTAGTGTGTTAGATGAGATTATTTTATATTGCTATTTTATAAGTAAAGTGTTACCCGGTGTGCAAGTTTGAATCTCTCCTGTGATTGGTAACTTAAAGGTAAAACTGTTCACTGTATAGTTGGTTCTGATTGGTAAACGTGTACTATCTGAACTTGTATATAAGGTGTAACGTGAAATAAATCGGTCTCTTTACGGCTCTTGGCTCTCAGCTCTTGCCTCTTGGTTCTTTTTGGGATAGTTATTTGACTCTGAGACACCAGTAAGTACATTGTTATTTGTACCTTCATAAGGCACTCGGCCGCGAAGGCGTAACAGTATTCAGTGTCTTAACTGGAATTAAGCGGCAAGCTTTTTAGTGGGTCGCCATGTTTGATCCGCGGATCTGTTAGTCCGCTGTTCTGAATGCGATCTAATTTAACAGTCCAATTACCGTCTACCAGGACCACATAGCGATTTTTTATTTAATATCACAGATATTTTTCTGGCTTTCGCTATGAACATTTCTTCACTGTCCAGCGAGGATTAAATAGCCTGTTTTTTACCATATATATACTGTATATATGAATGTTGTAGTACATAAACAAATACTTTGAAACAACATCAGGAAAAAAACGTACATTGGAATAGAAGTACAACTGAGTTTCTAAAACGTATAGATCGAATAGAGTATTCAACATAATCCGTTCATGGCCCAAAAAAGAAGAGGTCTAAATTTGAATCAAGGCATTGTCTCATCTCTGGGGTTCTTGTTTTGGCAAAATAGGTACATATATTTGGTGTTTCTGTTAAATTACATCTTCTTAATTGAGGTTGATCATTATATTTGATCAATAACAAATTGAAAATTGGTCTGAAATTTGTACTATTTGTAAAACGAACCCATGCCCTCTTTTTTTAATGGACTAGTACTGTAACTATTTTACAGTTTTTTCCGTTCTCCGCCCCCCTNATAAAGCACTGTTACCCCCTCGCCCGATATGCACGATAGCATCGTGATATCGGGCTCCTGGACAGTGCATTATTTACTACATATTCCTTAGTGACACTGTGTGTGGTTACCAGCGTGTGATGGAATGTTAAACACCGCTACCAGCAGGTTAACCTTTCGTGTTCATCTATTTATTAAAGTGCGTCTAATTAAACCAGTGACAGCTTTGCATTTGCAAACTGCTTTATAATTTTCACTTAGTAAAACACCAGTGCATTTCCAGATGATAACATGTGGGTGGGGCGCTACACCGGGTGTTTCCCACCAAGTGAAACACACATGTTCAAAACCATTACACCCAATAAAAAGGTAATACGAACGGGTTAATTCCACAGAATTCAAAAGTTAATTCTATCGATAGGTCAGATACATTTGTATATGTAAATAGGTCATACAATTATATTCTTATGCAACACCTTCTTAGTGTTAATGGATTTCTAACATCAATGATGTTTACAACACGTTGATGTACATGATATAAAAGATATTTAATGTTCATACCTTTACCAATATGTGATAGATACAATACGAGTCGCCGAGCTGTACGTGAAATATTACAAGTGTATTGGCGAGCCGCAGGCGAGACAATACACGAGTAATTTTCACGTACAGCTCGGCGACGAGTGTTGTATCTGGCTTAAACCACGGCCTCTGATTAGCTACTACACTAGTAGTGCAACAGACCGTGGAACGCACTCGTACATGACGTGCTTGTATGTCGCATACAGCACGGTCGAGTCTTTTGTTCTACGCGTTAGCCGTGGTTTAAAAATGAGAACATCCCCACCAGTTGGTTAACACGGACAGAACAATATAGTCCTTTAAATGTACACTAATGCACTGATGCACTGTAAAACACTATAAAACCTCAGGGGCCCGTATCTCGAAAGCATCGGGCATTGCGACCGTGCGCAAGCGTCTCGATTCCATAACTCGCCCATACCCGCCCCATATAATACATTGTAGCCTCTGTTTGATATAGCGATTCGCAATACACGATGCTTTCGAGATTCGGGGCCCAGTTCTTTTATGTGTGGTGGGCGAAGGGTAATTAGATTACGTTCTTATCAATATTAATGATGATTTATCCTTCTGTGATGCATTACATGCAAAATCGTGATGTGTAAGTAGTTGAACGAAATGCAGTGGCAAAAATCTACAAAATGTATTGACCTAAGAGACAGTTCGATTACAAATAAGAGGTATTAATTTTTCCTTCTTTGAGTATAACCATCTACCAAACAACTGGTCTATCGGCTGTAAGGATAGACTAGCACATAAGATGCGAAAAATGAAGATGGCTCACGGTAAACAATTTAATTTTCACCCACCT